CTCCTTGGGTGTCCCAATCCCCTTTTGTGCCTCCCGGGTTCCACATAGTTCTGCATTTGATAGCAATGCCCATTTCCTGTACTTCCCATCACAGAAACAGTTAATTTAACTCCCGTAAGAGAGGCATCTGTGCCTAATTCTTCTGTCATAGAACAGGTTTCCACAGTTCCTAAGTCCAGAGCGGGGGTCCTGCTAATGTCTTTGTAGGGGCTCCCCTGCTTGACAACAAAAGCAACATCCAGATCTAGTCAGAGTTCTGCTGATCCAAAGCCTAGAAAGAAAAAGTCAGTTTCTGAGGACCATGGGCAGATTATACTGCATTCTCAAGCCGAGCCTGTTTTTGGCTACTATTGTGAATAGTCATTTCTACGCCTGCTTCTATTACAACCCCTGACAATTTTATTACATCTGTCTCTGCTGATCATATAAAAAAAGATGACCGAAATTCAGATCAGAAGGCTACTCTGTCTGGAGACCCTTGGTAAACTCAAGGAGGCTCAGAAGCAGAAGATGCTGGTGCCCTTGCTTCTGCTGCTGTTAGTCACACTCAGGAAATATGGAATCAGTTGGAGACGCAAAAAAATCTGTGTTGGCACCAGATGTTGAAACTAAGCTGACTTCGGCAGTTGTCACAATAGCTGCAGCTGCTGCTGTTGCAAAGGCTGCAGCTGCGGCTGCGAGTGTTGCCTCAAATGCTGCCTTACAAGCAAAATGATGGCTGATGGAGGCATGGGTTTCAAGTGGCTACAGAAATCCTACTCCAACTAATACAATTTCTTTTGATAGTGTGAATCTTGGCAAGGCAACTCCTGCATCCATCTTGAGGGGTGAAGATGTTGCTACTAGTTCAAATTCTGTTATTGCTGCTGCAAAGGAAGCTTCTAGAAGGAGGGTAGAAGCAGCTTCAGCTTCGTCAAAGCGAGCCAAAAACATGGATGCCATTGTTAAGGCTGCTGAGCTGGCAGCTGAAGCAGTATCACAGGCTGGGAAAATTGTTATGGGTGGGCCTTTCCCGTTGACTGAATTGGTAGATGCTGGTCCAGAGACATACTGGAAAGTACCCCATGCATCTTCTGAGCCAGATGATGCTGTCAGAGAACACACAGACAAAGTTGGTAATGTTGAGCTCTTGGTTCAGCTCATCACAAGAGGTTCACACCTATAAGAGCGAAAAGCAGAGTAGTAACCATGAAGTGTCACCAATTCTTAGAGATATGGACATACGGTCTATTCAGTATCATTCCAGGTTGACTGATGGCACTCTGGGTGCTGCTGCAACTAGTGGAAATGATAAAAGGGTCTGCAAAGCTTCAGATATTGCCAAAAGTAAAGCAGTGTCCACTAAGACTGAACATGGGAAAGAAGAGCGAACTTTGAAAGACAGAAATATGAGGGAAGGTTCTCATGTTGAGGTTTGTAGACTGTACTTGATATATGAGTTTATCCTTTTAACCTTTGGTAAAATATTTTACTAGGTTCTAATGATGCAGTTATATTTGATGGAAATATGCCCATATTCCGGTGCATTTGAATTTTTTTGCATTCATCTTAGTTAATGCAGGAAAGTGTTGCAGTTGAACATGTCCTATTGATATTATTCATATCTGATCTTTTACAATTTACCATTTCCCGATTTCTAGGTATTGAGAGATGGAGGTGGCTCGAAAGTAGCATGGTTCCCTGCTGATATTCTGGATTTGAAAGATGGCAAAGCTTATGTGTGTTACCATGAACTTCGATCAGAGGGTGAGCTATCACACATAGTTTGTTTTGGTTTAATAAACTGAATGATGGATGATAATAGATAAAGCAGATCTGTTGGACAATCCTTGTCCTTATTTTTTAATAAATCCCATGTTGATGTCTAACTAATTTTATTTTCTCTTTGGAATATTGTATGATTTCCATTCTGAATCAGGTATTTTACTTGCATGACGTGTGTCTATTGTGGGGAGATAAACAATATGATTAAATACATCAGGATGAGGATGCCTGCATTTTCTAATGTTTTTTTTCTACATGTCTAGTGTGTTGCAATGGTTTCTTATGTGAAAACATATCCTTTAGAGATATTTGGAGGTTTTGTCTCATGCACATATAAATTAATGAGGATGCTTTCCTAACAAACTTGTTTTGATTGCTGATCTTACAGATGGTGATAGGCTGAAGGAATGGGTGGAGCTTGAAGTTGAAAGGGATAAGGAGCCCAGGATACGCAGTAGTCGTCCTATTACAGTCATGCCATTTGAAAGAACTAGGAAGAGACGCAGGGCTGCCATGGGGGACTATAATTGGTCCATTGGAGATAGGGTTGATGCATGGATGCAAGATAGGTATGCATGCATTATTTTCTATATATTTTTGTAGTGCATCAGATCAGAAAGGAATTTTACTATTATGAGGATTTAGTGCAAGGATAATTTGTCATGATTTCCTAGCTAAACTAGCAAAATGAGTGATTTGCCATAATTTCTTGTGAATATTCAAAACTCTCTCTAGCTGTGTAACAGTGAAAACTGAGATTGTTTAGTAAAGAGTGGTAGATAAACTATACAAAGTAATTTGTCACTTGGATGTTGTTATATAAACCGAGTTGAAATATTTGACTTTCAGCTGGTGGGAGGAAGTTATCAGCGAGAGGAGCAAAAAAGATGAAACATCATATACTGTCCGTTTTCCAAGTACGTGTGACATTTTGTTAACAATCTTGTTTATAATCTGCTCTGTATTAAAGTCTATATGGCCTTTGAGAATTATTAACAGTTTTATTTATTACGTGTACTGTAGCTCAAGGAGAAACATCTGTTGTCAAAGCATGGCTTCTACGTCCTTCTCTGGTATGGAAGAATGGCAATTGGGTTGAATGGTCCAGTTCGGGGGATAATAATGGCTCTTCCCTTGAGGTGATATGTCGACTTATGTTTGTGATTGATGTTTCTTTGATAATACTTTAATGGCTTCTGTGTACTAATTAGTTGATCTGTTTTTCAGGGCGATACCCCACTGCAAAAGCGACCACGGATACGCAGTCCTGTGGTAGATACCAAAGAGGAAGGCACAAAAGGTTTTGACAATGAGGAATCCAAGAAACCTGATGACACGACATTGCTTGATTTACCTGTAGGTGAAAAATTATTTAATATTGGTAAATGCACCAGGGATGAGGGTAAGCCCAGATCGCAACGAATGAAACCTTTGGGTTTAAAGAAGGAAGGTTCAAGAGTTATTTTTGGTGTTCCTAAGCCAGGAAAGAAGAGAAAGTTTATGGAAGTAAGCAAACATTATGTTACGGATCGGAGCAGTAGAACTCATGAAACAAGTGATTCTGCTAAATTTGCAAAAAATTGTTGCCTCGGGGATCTGAGCCTAGTGGAACAAACATAAAATTGAACCAAAAGAAAGACGAATGGCTGTATCCAAACCTAAGGTTCTCAAGCCCGGAAAACCACCTAGTGTTTCTAGTAGAACTATTCCTCAGAAGGACATCCTATCAAGCAACTTGGGTTCTGAACCTGATGATGTTGATAGTATATCAGGAGAGCATAACACGGAGTTCAGATCATTTTCAAGTTCTGATGGAGCAGGTGAGGGCCCGGTATTATTTTCTTCTGTGGCTGTCTCATCAGATGCACCCCGGGAGAAAGCTTCCATATCAAATGCTAAATCTGAACGTATTAGTAAAGGGAAACTTGCACCGGCTTCTGGGAAGTTGGCTAAAGTTGAGGAGAAAACGAAAAGAGTCTCTGATGCTGTTGAACGTCGTAAATCAAATCGGAAGATTCAGCCGACCTCAAGAGTAAGTAAATAGATGTAGTCCTTTGTTCCGTCTCTGTGCCGCTTACAAGTATCGTTTGTTGTCCACAGCTCTTGGAAGGACTGCAAAGCTCATTGCTCATCTCGAAAGTTCCCGTTCCGCGTGACAAAGTTCACAAAGGTCAGAGCAGGAGTGCTAGAGGTGAAGTTTAAATTTCATATCACTTGGTATTCTTGAAGCAATGCAATCTTTACCCATTCTTTTAATCTTGGTTATCGTCAAATGTGCACCGACCGATGGATGCAACATAACCGTCTCGTCTATATAACAGGAAACGACTAAGGTTTAGAAGGGTTGTGTTTTGCAACATGGGAATCCATCCAGTCTTTTGAAACATTTTGGATGAACAGGCAACATTCATTCAATTGTGTAATTTATGCCATGACAGATAGAGCTAGGAACCAAAATTGCTTCTTTGGCTTTTGAGATGTAGCACTAGATTATGTTTTATATAAAATTTATTCTCAAATGATTTTTGGTTCTTTATTTTTCCGAGTTGTTTTACGAAAAGTATGCTGTCAAAATATATTTCAGATTGACGTTCATAAGGCAAAGCAGTATGATAGCGTGGACATACGGCCTGTTTGATTTCACATGTTTTTGTGGGTAATTATAATTTAGAAGATTTGGCAAATTCACATGCGGTGGTTAATGTCAGATCCAATGTATTAGTTAATTGTATTGCCAACCGATGACTTGTATTGTATCCATCTTAACTGTTGTTTCTTTGAATCAATTCTCTTTTATACGTTCTTTAGATCTTAATGCTACTGTGCTAGAATCTTTCAACTCCTTTTCGTATAATGATTTATACATCGAAGAATTATATTATTAAATAAAAATTATTCAAAATCAGATTTATTACAAAATATTTTTTTAATGACTGCACACTCTTCGAATTTGCTGCTGGCATTACAACAAAATGGTATTAAATTTTACAAACATGTAATCAATAGATTAGATTATTATTCAATGTTATAAGAATCAGTCAAATAATTGATTTTAGTTCTCTTGATTTAATTGATTAAATCGTTAATAAAAATATTATAAAATCGGTTCAATCAATTAAATTATTATTTTAATCCAATTTTTAAAAGATTTGTTGTGGTTTATTTAAATTTTTAATTTTAATTGAACCGATTGAATTATTACTTTTTGAACCCAATTACTTAGTCGAACCTATTTTTTATGATTGAATTATACCAATGAAAATAAAACAATTGGAAATCAAGGGTGTAGCATTTTTTGTCCCTGTCCTCTTAGGAAATACTTGTTCATGTTCAGCCTTCTTGGCTCCAAAAACTGGCTCTTCTTCTTCGTTGCTTCTCTTCCTCAATCCTTGATCTTCTTCAAACTGTTGTGAGTGATGGCCTCCACTTTCATTTCCACCGATATCGCTTGCCGGCTTTTCGCATATACAGGAATAGGGATACACATGAAATTCGCAGCGTCCGGCTCTCATTTCATCGGGTTCTCCCATGAAACCTCTTTGAACCGCCCTCACCTTTTTGGCAAAGTTATCCCAATCCATTCGATCCCTTTCCATCAACAATGGACTCAGCCTCTTAGCATTTGGTCTTATGGTCCTCTTGTGCCCCATGTACCTCCTTTCAATCCCAACAACAAGAACTAACACAAAGTCAGTCCCAAGGCAAAGAGTATTGCAATAAATGCTGAACCGTGCAAATGTAAAGAAATGGTCAAAATAATCAGCTGAAGATGTACCATAAATAACTAGATTTCTCACCTTCGACCTGCTAGAATCTTGGCCATATTTCCTTTGTTATTAGTGATGAAAACATCGCTTTTGTTGCAAACAATGTAGTCAATGGCAGCGAGACAAGACGAGTGGGGAAGAAAAGGTTTCAGATATTCATTAGCAAGCATCTCTTTTGTGCACAAGTTTGGAAAGAGACATCTTAATGGCGCCAGAGTCTCTTCTCCACCGTATATTTCTCCGGATGCAACATAGATGTATGTGTCATTTTCGAAACCTAGTGCCCTTAACATCAAGCCTACTTCATGAGGAGTAAGTGGGCATTTACCTCCACTCCTTTCTGCAACACTATCAATTTCCTGCACGAATACGAGGATGAGTGCAATTTAAGTAAGGTAAATGCAGGCAATGTTTATAAATGGTTCCGAAATCGAAAAAGGCAGTATCTCACCGGCAATGTTTCCCATTGTTTTCGTATCTCTCCAAGCTCGAATCGCTCCTTGTCCCCTCCACCAAAGTAACAACCAGAAAATGCTAGCATATCAGGATCAAGTCTGTAATTGAAAACGTTTTGAGTCAGATACGGAAAACAGTTCTATGCAGAGCTTAAAATCATATTTAAAAATGTTTCTCTATGCATGTGTATGAACCAATGTGCTTTATTGATACATATTCAAACATGAGTTTGGGGTATGATTCTCCAAATATATGGAAAAGCTTTGAAAGTAATTGAGTATACCCATAATATCCTAGAATTCGGAACAAACCTCAAATGGACTGCAATAAAACGAGTAGCCTTCTCACGCATTTTCAAGACAAGCTTTTGTCCAAGTTTTTGAATCGGTTTTGTAAACCTTAAAGCATGAAAATTAGCCCGGCAACGCAACTTTTGAAGGTCGTCATCGATGGTTGGCAAGTCTTCAGTTGGAGGACCTACAAAATTATCTGTGTTAACTGCTGCACTCCAACATGAAAACCATAAAATCCTAGAAAAATGTATAATAAGAATGATATTCTACCAACATGGTGCCTGGAAGTTGGTCCAACTCTCTTCTAAGCTACTAATCAGACAACTGAGGGGATGAAAAAGAAACAGAAAATCGATTTGTGGGAATTATTCCATGTGATCAATCTAAACTAGCATTAGTGCGAAGTATCTGCAAGTGTCTTACATGTCTTCTTTTAAGTATCGACAGAACTTGGTCTAGATAATATTCTGGAGGGGATTTCCTTGGGACACGCATGGTGTATGGAGGTTTTTCCATCGATCGCATGAATTTATCTGGAACTCTTTTGACAATGGTAACATCTTTTGCTAGGTAAGATATGAACCAGTCGACATAAAAATATTGACAAATCACTGCATTTTTAGCAAAAACAGATGCTTAACAAGGTAAAAGAGGAAAAGAATGGTGTCAATTTAGCAAAACTAATTAGTAGATTAAACTTACCTATCATCCTTCCAATAGGAATTATGATCCAACTCAGGTACCACTAAGGTTGCGTTAAGAATCCCTGCAACAACTACCGCATCTGATATCTGTGTACCAGAAGCAAATTATTATTTTTTGGTTTAACCACTAATTTCTGATATATTGATCGACAAATCTAGATCGAGTACTGTAGAGGACTATTATGGGACGGCCTCTCAACCTAATATTTTTCATTCACAATGTTAAGATTTGAATCCTGACTTTGCTTAAGAAATCTAATATCTCATCTCTCTAGATCAACTGGTTGTTGGTTGTACCATAAGCAAATTATTAATTCTAAGAAATGGCACACTGGGTCTTTAGACTTGGGAGTGACTACCAGATGCTGAAATGCACGCAACATGAGTCTTTGGAAGATAGTATCTTCATATTCATATCTCAATATAAGTTCGATAAGAGAAAAAAATGAAGAGCAATGGAGCTAGAGCGAATAAATTCAATAGGTTGCCTAACTCAAGAGGTACATTGAAAATTTAATCAAATTAACCAAGCGAAGCTTATTGGTTCAATATACGTAATCAGAGTGACAGTACTCCGTAGACACTTACAGATGAGTTACGTTTGCCATTGATGCAATTTCATGATCTTCCATTACGATATTTACCCAAAAATATAGCACAATGCAAAAAAAAAAAAAAAATCCCACTTACTCCTGTACTTTGTTGATTCAGTCCTCCACTTGCAGCAATAAGCAAATAACCATTTGATTCTTGCTCACTAACAGCATCTAGATATCAAATTATCAGTGAAAAGGAAGAATCAGCGAGCTCAAGAGACTGGATTGATGAAACATATTAACGAGAACAGTGTCGAATGGATTCTTTTATAGGAAGTGAAGATGATACACGACATCAGGTAATTAGAATCATTATACTGAAAGCTATGCTAAAAAGGAAAAATAAGCGACAACAGATTGCTTAGAATGTGTTAATTTCATCCGATTCAAGTCCTGGAAGAAATCATCTAAATTTTGTTGTTGTAATCTTCAAAGTTAAACACCAATATAATGAACATAGGCAAGTTCGATCAAAGCACTAAGAAATAGCAGAGTAAACTAACATGAACACCTAGAAACAATTTCCATTTTGTACCTGTTAACGTCTGCTGTGAATTAATACCTTGAAAAGAGCAGTGAATTACAGAAAAAAAATAGAAATAATGTTCTTTGTGCTACGATAAATCCTTATGGATGCAGTTATGGAGAATTGAATATGACGTACGATTGGATGATTGTTCTATATTTTAAACTACAACTCTATTATCGTTTTCATAACTTTGATAATGAATTGATTTTAAAACTTAACTATATGTTTTTATTTTGCATTGCTGGAACACATTGAGCTACCTAGCTCACTCCCCTAAACTTTTCTCTTTCAAATACTTTTTTATAGGCGACCCGGACTTGATACTTAGAGGATCGACACATTCGTACAATATTATTTTGTTGTAATATTTTTATCTTTTGATTTGTCATTATGATGGGGTGACATGTGCCTATTTATTTTGAAGTACTTGTCTTGCGACGTATATTGCTTTTGCGACTGATGTTAAAATTACATCGATATTGATTTGTGAAAGATTTTGTTTTACTCAGATATTTATAGTTTTATATACTACTCGAATTAGAACTTATTATTAATAACTATGTTTTTAAAAGGTGTTTATTCATAATATGTATTTAAATTATTGAAAAATGTTTTGAAAAATTTTATCGTAATCTACTAGATCTGATCGTAACACATAGGCCGGGTCTAGGGGTTACAATCATAACTCTTAATTTTAAATTAGTCCTCAAACTTTTGAACATTTCAATTTCATTCAAAACTATGGATATATATTAATCATGTTTCCTATTAATAAATGTGTTAGATCAAACTATATTATTATATGTTTGAAAAAAACTATGTTAAATTACAGATGAAACTAATTATATTTGGATGAATTTGAGAATGAAATTAGAATACTCAAAAGTTTAGGGACCAATTTAGATCGAGTCATAGTTTGGATATGAAATTATGATATTCAAAAGTTCAAGGATTAATTTAGAATGAGTCATAGTTTGAGGGTGAAATTGAAATATTCAAAAGTTCAATGACTAATTTAAAATACATCATAATTTAAAGATGAAATTAAAATATTTAAAAATTTGAGAATTAATATAGAATAACGAGGACATGTGATGCAATTAACCAACAACTTAAAACATAATAAAACATTCACATTAACAAAGACTATTATTATTAGAGAAAATAACCTCAGTGACCAAAAATGTCTTATAATATACGATTTTAATCAACTTTTTTTGGATTTGCCAAAATGATCAACTAAATCGTAATGCGATCGATAATTCGCAACGCGATCTCCGGTATCGCAAATCAGTTCGAACTTTGATTGTTCGTTGCGATAGTCCAAGTTCGCGTTGCGATTTATTCCAAATTCATTGCGATAGTCCAAGTTCGCGTTGCGATTTATTTCAATTGCGATAGTCCAAAATCACAACGACGGTATTGCATTTGTTTATTAAGAATTTTCTCTAAAAAGATAGTATTAACGCGGACGTGTCGAAGACACGTATTACCACGACCACGACCACGACACGACCCGAGACGAGACGAGGCGGCGGCGGCGGCGCGCGAGAGTCTCCCTTGTTCTCTATCACTCAACAAGGAAGTGGGAAAGCCAAACCTTAAATACCATTCCTAATAGTGTTTCCAATACTATGTGGGATTGAGCATTACCAACACTTGTTCCCAATACTATGTGGGATTGAGCCTTAAATAGTGATATTATTTTTGAATGTTTTGCTTAAAATTACAATAATCGCGATTGATTGTAGATTGACTTTTAATTATGACATATTTAATCGTATAATACTAATGCAATTGGTTGCTGATTCAGTTTGTTTTAAGGTGCATGATTGTTAATTGTTTCCTGAATAATCACATTGTATTGGAAATAAGTGTTGGTAATGCTCAATCCCACATAGTATTGGAAACACTATTGGGAATGATATTTAAGGCTTGGCTTTCCCATTTCCTTGTTGAGTGATCGAGAACAAGGGGACTCTCGCGCGCCGCCGTCGTCGTCCGTCTCGGGTCGTGGTCGTGGTAATACGTGTCTTCGACACGTCCGCGCGAATACTATCTTTTTAGAGAAAATTCTTAAGAAACAAATGCAATACCACCAGTCGTTGCGATTTTGGACTATCGCAACGAATTTGGAATAAATCGCAACGCGAACTTGGACTATCGCATTGCGATTTACAAATTCGCATTGCGATAGTCCAAGTTCGCATTGCGATAGTCGAAGTTCGCGTTGCGAATCTGGAAACTGATTTGCGATACCGGAGATCGCGTTGCGAATTATCGATCGCATTGCGATTTAGTTGGTCATTTTGATAAATCCATAAAAAGTTGGTTAAAATCGTATATTATAAGGTATTTTTGGTCAATGAGGTTATTTTCTATTATTATTATTATTATTATTATTATTATTATTATTATTATTATTTATTATTATTATTATTATTATTATTATTATTAGGGAGAGAGATTTAAGAAAAGTATATGCCGGCTTGGTGAAATGGTTACCCGTGAGAAAAGCAACATTGATTAAAGGGTTTTTATTTTCACCTACTTTTAATGCTTATTTTCAATGGATTGAAAATTATTATTTACCTAATTTTTTATGTTTAAGGATTCCAATAAGTTTTACAGTTTTTATTAAGTTTATTAAAATAATTTACATGATTTATTAATATATATATATATATATACCCCCACGAAAAGTTCATGAGATCAAAATGCATTTATAAATAAAATTTATTCTAAATTCATCTTACAACAATATTAATTTATGCTTTAAATATTATTAATATTTATTTATTTTTAATTTGATTAATATAATTATTTACGAATTTAGTTTTGATAAATATGATTATTGTTTTAATATTTTCGAAAACATAATCTTTTAAATAATGTAAGATAATTATAGAATAATATCTGTTCATAATCTTGATAGTATACCCTATAAATACAATTACTTAGGGGCTGTTTGTTTGGCTCTTAATGAAACCATTCAGCGCTGAATGCTGAACCGTTCAACATTCAGCGTGTTTGTTTTTCACCTCTGAATGATTCAGTGCTGACTGATTCAGCAAAACAGTGCTGAATGATTCAGCATCAAAGTACATTCTGAATGATTCAGAGCCATTATCAAACAGCATGTCACATTCAGAGCTAATTCATACAGAACCTCTAAATCATTCAGCGCTTAATCATTCTGAAGTAAACAAACGGCCCACTAAGATTTCAAAAAAGAAACTATTGTTCAAATCTGTTAAATTCTATTACAAGTCTCTATACTATTAAAGAGTTTAAAAAGTGATAATTGTCACTTTCTTGTTGATTATGGAAATTTTTAT